ATCTCCCTGGGTAATGTGCTCTGCTCACCCCTCTGACCTCCACACTTTAGGGGGAAATATGTAAATTATAAAATATTAACACATACCAGTGCTGCTAGCTGTATATTTTGTGTGTGTGTGTGTGTGTGTGTGTGTGTGTGTGTGTGTAGTGAGAGAGAGATGGACATGGGAAAAGTCCAGGGTAAGGGAGGTTTTTCTGGTCTTGAATGAATATATATACATATGCAAATTCTCCAGCAATCAAAACCATCTTGTATGTTCTTCACCTTGTTGAATCTGTGTGACAAGGACATAGGTGAAGCACTACCAATTAAGCCAAAAAATATTGCTGAATACACAGGAAAGGACTGATAATATTTATCTTACAATCTGTGTAAGATTGTATTCAGCGGTTAAAAGGTCATAAAAAGCAAAAAAATAAAAAGCACTTTAAGAATCCTATGCCATTAGTACTTTCACGCTAACCTTATGCCACCTGGAGCAATGTTGCATTCTGAGTATCACATTTTGGAACAATGAGAAGCAAGAATGCAGTTAAACAGGCAGGCAGTCATGGGGGCACTTTCTGGAAACCTTGTGTGGTGGTGGGGGCGGGGAAGAGAAAATGAGACATTAGCCTGGAGAAAAGAAGACCTGAGAGGACCTATAGGAAGGGATTTAGTCAACACAAAAGGGTCTGATATCAGTACTGAGGACTTTCTTAACCCTAAGAGCTAAGTGACTGTCACGGGAGACAGGAAGCACCTTACGAGACAAGCCTGGAAGACTCTGCAGAAAAGGTCTCAGAAACCAAGTAATCCCTACACGTTGAATCTAATCAGTCATGTCCCACAGTGATGGTGACAGCAAACTTGAGAGTCACAGTGAATCTCATAGCACAACAGGATAAAAAGGACTTTGGCATCAGGAAACAAAGTACACAGGCAGCTACACCCTGTCAACTGCACTAACTCTTGCATTCTGAGCAAAGTTGACCTGAACCAAGACTAGGGTCCCAATGAACATGGGCCCTGCAGCACTCAGGATCCTGGATTAGTACACCATGCTCTCTCGCTTCTAGCGTTGCTGGACTGAAGTCCCACACTATGCTAAGCACTTTGGAGCTGTGCATGTGATTTCTTTTCTCTCTCTTTCTCTCTTCCTTCATTTACTATTTTTTATCTGCATACATTAATAGTACAAGGGGGTTTCATTGTGATAATTCCATAAATGTATAGTGTACTTTGAACAAGTTCACCCCTCTAATATATTCCCTTACATCCCCATTCTCTTCCCCCATTTCTAAGTGTTTGATGTGTTTCATTATGCTATCTTCATATGTGTGGGGGGGGTGATGTAATGTACTTAAACCTTTTTCACCTTTCCCTTCCCCTCCTCCCCCTGCTGATTCTCCCACACAGTCCCCCTTTAATGCACATGTCCCATTGTTGTCATCATCATTTTTAGTCTAGATTCCACAAATGAGTGAAGCATGTGATATTTGGCTTTCTGAGCTCAACATGATGGTCTCCAGTTCCATCCCTTTATCTGCAAATGACATGTCATTCTTTGCTGCGTCTGAGTATTAGTCCACTGTGTATATGTATTGCATTTTCTTTATCCACTCATCAATTTTTGTGCACCTACACTGATTCCACAACTTGGCTATGGTTCCTTATTGAATGTTGATTTTCACTCTCTTGGATAGGTGCCCAGGAGAAGTATGGCAAGGGTCATGCTGTAGTTCTATTTTTTTGTGAAACTCTATACTGATTTCCATAGTGGTTGCACTAGCTTATATTCCCATCCACACTGTATGGGGGTATCCATTTCTCTGCAATTATTCCTTGTCTACCAAACACCTTCTACTTCCTCTCTTAGCCTTGATGGTTACCTGACAATAGGAAGGAAGATAGTGGCTGGGATGATGGAACCTCAAAACACATGCATGCCTCATCAGATAGTCTGCACAGAAATTGAGTTTACAGATCCCCCATTTTACTAGTCATCCTCTGAGAGTTCTATCCAATTTGAGTCAATAAAACCTATTTCCAGAACTGACAAGATAAAGCTGATACCAGAGACCATGGTAAGGCTACCATGTTAGCACAAGTGGGGTCATCCAACCTGAGGTCATCCAACCGCCCCGTCTCCCCTCTGACTTTTCTCTTTAACTCTCAATAGTACTTGCTGGGAAGCCAGGGGTGTGACTTCCAAGGGACTCCTCTGAGATCACAATTTGGCCACTCAAGCATCAGGAGTGCTTTATCTCAGTTCTGAGAAATGATTATAACCACCTAAGGGTCAGGCAAAGAACCTTCTGTTTTATTATTATGGACATTTTCTTCCCCTAAGGGGAAAATGGAGGAATAAGACGTGAAAACCCAATGGGATAACCAATGTAAAACTGCTTTTGCTTTCTCTTTGAAATAGCAACTGTATTTTACTTATTTGTTGAATGTACTGGTGACTTTTCTCAATTTTGAAAAGTAGATAGCTGAGAAATTTTATAGCTTTCTGTAATAGCCTTTAAAGCCACATGACATTTTAAAATAATGATGTGTATATAAAACTGGGGCATATCACTAATAACCACATTTTTCTGATGAATCTACTTCATTTCTTCCTCTCCTGTTGAATGTGGCTGTGTCTGGCTGGCCATTCTTGCTGATGATTATCTTTGAGGCTTTGATACTCTGCCCCAGGTGTACAATGGTAATGGCTTCCACATCTCCTGATATGAGTGGTCTATTTACATTTCCTCCAAGAGATGGCTGTTGAAACTGTCCAGGCAAATCCAAGCTCATTGTCTTGCCCGTGGTTCTAGATCTTTTCTGATTGTTTGCACAGCTCAATATGGATGTTTCATCCTATGGAGACTGGTTCCAACCCACAGGGTGGCCCCTAGCAGCCATTTTACCTTCCTCTGTGCAAGTGGAATGGGACAGAGACACCACTCCCAGTTCTGAAGTGGGAGAGACAAAGACTTGGATTAGTTGTACATGACACTACTCCAGGGGAATGCCCAGAATTCTTGGTGCTGGGGTCCCTTAGAGCTATACCTGGACCTACACTTTCTGAAAAATTCAGCTCTTCCATGCACCCTAGAGATACTGCAGCAGAGTTCTAGTAAAGTCCCTATTTGGGCTAAGCTTGCTGGAGTTGGCTTCTCTTACTTAGGAACTTACTGATATTTCTCATCCAGGAATCTTTACTCCTGTCCGGGGTTCTAACATTCCCTCACCCGTCAAGGGCCAGAAGTTTCCCTCCACTCTTTGTTTTCCATGGAGCCCACATTCAGAACATTCAAACCCGTTTTATCTCCAAAATAAACCTCTCCACATTCTCTACTGCTGCCTTTGTGATCTCTTTGGTGGGCTTGTCCAGTCTTGCCCTGCTCCAGTGGTTAATTCTGACATGTTACTTACCATTCGTTCTGGCTCACAGGAGCATGGGGCTATTGTACTCCTATGCGCCTGTCAGGCCTGATAACAAACCTTACCCAAACATTCCCCAGGTTTTGCTGCTTCTGTGACTTTTGTACTGCTGCTCCCTCTGCCCTTTGTGCCTGGGAGAATCTTACTTCTTTTTTAAGGCTCTCTCAGGCCTTGCCGCATCCCAGAGAACAAAGACATACTCCCTCTGTCCTCGGGGAAATCTGTCCTCCTTCTGTCCTGCTTTGAAGTCTGTCTTCCATGTCACGCTGGGAGGCATTGGGTGCACTTGATTTCTGGCACCAGGGTGGTTGATCAGTAACTGGATGTTGAGTGACTTTGACCATGCACCATCCATAACTCACTAGGTTATGAGCCAAAGTCAAAGTGTTTCTTACTGTCACTGCTTATTGACAATTAGGAACCAAACATTGGTGGTGCAAAGTGGATATATTAAACAGACTGCCCAATACCTCCAGGCAGTAGTGTCTGAAAAATGACACTACTCCAGGAAGAACCTATTCATATGGATTTATATTTGATAAAGCTTTTCCATATACATAAACAGATTTAATTTTCACTGTGACCCTGTCATACAGTTACACTTTATGAATCCAGTTTGTAGGGGAGGGAACAGTCAGTCAGGTGGCTTGAACAAGGTCACACAAGTAGTAAATGACAGACTTTCAACAGGAAACTCTACTTTCCTCTCTCTCTCTCTCTCTCTCTCTCTCTCTCTCTCTCTGCCTCTCTTTCTCTCTTTCTCTCTCTCTCTCTCTCTTTGGTGGGATGGGGGTTTGAACTCAGGGCATCATGCTTGCAAAGCAAGCACTCTACCCCTTGAGCCATGCCTTCAGCCTATTTTGCTCTGGTGGTTTTGGTGATGGGGTCTTAGAACTATTTGTCTGGGCTGGCTTGGAACCATGATCTTCCTAATTTCAGTCTCCCAAGTAGCTAGGATTACAGGCATGAGCCACTGCCAGTACCTGGAAGACACTGCTTTCTAACCTCAGGATTGGGTGTTCTCTCTGCTGTGCCATGTTGCCTCTCCCCTGATAGTGTTGAATACAATGACATAGGCTATTTGGGGAGGTGGGGATAAGGTGTGTGTGTGGGGTGTGGGGCTGTTTCTAAAGTGTATGACCTTTTCCCACCCTTGTCACCATACATATGAGCATTCCTTGTCATATTCCTTGCCTAGAAAGGCTAACATCAATACAGAAAATGTTACCTTATTTCCAGGAAGAGATACTTCCCCAAAACATATAGATGGCAAAATATTTTAATTTTCTCATAAAGCTATTTCCCCACCCCTAGATTCAACGTGGGACAGATGTGCATGCAAGAACACTGATTTGAGTAGGAGGAAGAGGGTGTACATAAACATATATGCAAATACATTCAGGTTTATTTAAATGATTGGGTCTACACTTTTGAAGGCTCTTTGAAATATCTTATCAAAAGAAAACACATTTTAAGCAAGAGGTTAAAAAAAGCTTTTAGGACCCAAAGGCCATTTAATACCATAAATCCTACTTGGGTAGTTTAGCAAACATTTTTCAAAACCCACATCCATCAGTCTGGTTAGTATTGGATACACAGATTTGGTTTTAAAGCTGAAATAAATGCCTCTGGTGCAATAGAACTTCTCATGAAATTCAGTTATTTTATATTAAGTCATAAAAAATAGGGACACATATCTATTGACAACTTAAATATTAACTCAGTAGGCTACTTGGTGATATAAATAGGAAAAAAAAAATGGTCATGATGAGGGTGAGGAGACTATGACACCAGCATACCTTGGACTGTAAAGAATGTTAACATCTATCCCAGAATCTACAACAGGAAAAAAAGAGTCATATTCCACTCTATATAGACCCCATCTGGCCCAAAGCATCCCCCCAAGGAGTACACCCCCAAACACATGAGGCTTACTAACTGCCTGCTACAGATGTTACTATGTCACTAATTAACAATGATCACAGAAAACGTGTCATACCAGAGTTTTTGTTATCATACACAATGCATTAGTGGCTGCAGGAGTCCTCTTCCAAAAGCTACTGTCAGAAAGCCATCTGACAAATGTGCTTGTCACTGGTCCAAGAAACCACAGCTAAGAGAGGAGGCATTCATTTGTACATGGAGCTCTCTGTGGTAGGCTCCCCACTCCAGTGGGACAGGTTGGGGGTGAAGAGTCCCATCCAGGCCCTGTGCCCCCTACTCCTGGGCCTCCTTTCGGGTCAACTTGTAGATCTCAGTGGGTCCATCCACATGGGTGATCGTGGTGGTGAGCTGTAGTTCTTCCCCGCTGTGGACACCCAGGTCATCTGAAACAGGGCGTTGGGAGTTAGATGTGTACAAGGAGGGAGGGGAGGCAAGCTGGAGAGTCAGCTCATGAACCAGGCATAAGCCAACTCCCAACCTTCCCACTTGGGATGCAGTGTTTTTCAATATCATTTTTGGCATTCAGGTCATTAATGACTTGTGAGTTTGCTCGTTGCTGATATTATTCGTAGTAATTATTAACATTTAATGAGTGCTTACTTTGTGCTTGATGCTATCTGAAATGTTTTATATGTGATCTTATTTAATCCTCACAAGGTGCGGGAACTATTGATCATGCCATCTTTACAGATGAGGAAACCATCCTAGGCAGAACAGCAGGCACATGACAGTGACAGCGTAATCAGCCAAGGTAGGACCATCTGAGGTCAAGGCCCATGCAATTGGCTAAGCCAGCACAACACGCCTCTGGACTGGTGGGCAGGGCAGGCAGGCATGTTGAGAATAATTTACTAATCAGCTTTTTCACACACAGGCCTACACCTGCCAAGAGATTGGACAAGTTACTGATCTGACACATTCAGGACCAATCTGGGGCATTCTTTAGGACAAATGTACCAAAAACTCGCTTCAAATTTTCTTCTGCTTCTCAGGATTCAATACAAAGCAGTGTCTTGAATTCATTACCAGTGGACAGAGGTGTTCTGCTAAAATGGAATAATGTGGTCTTTCCTCAATTAGCAGGAGAAAATGAGTTTCTGTAAACATCAGACCAGTATGTGAATGAAATCTAGCCAAAGAAAAATAGAAAACATTCAGAACCAGTTATCCATTCAGCCCTGTGTGGCGGTACACGTGTAATATGCATTTGTAGGTGGGGTGCTGGGGAGGGATAAAAGTTAAACTTTGTGTTTGTGGTTACAGTTTTTGTTTTGGCAGTACTGGGGTTTTAACTCAGGGCCTTGGGCTTGTTAGGCAAGAGATCCCCCTCCCACCTTTTTTATTGGCTTTAGATATTTTTTGGATAAGGTCTAAAGTTTTTTTCCTGGGCCAGCCTTGGACCACCATCCTGCCATCCTTCTACCCTTCTGATGTCTGCCTCCCTGAGTGGCTGAGGTGATAGGTGTTAAACCACTGTGTCCTGCCCAGTGTCTGTGATTGTTATACTGTGCACACATGGAACTTTCTCGTACTGAAATTTTTCCTAGTTCAAAGCAAATAAACAAACAGACAAATAAATACACAATAAATAAATAAGTAAATGCTATCTCCCACTGGCATTCCACTCCATAATGTGAAAGCTGCTGTGGCCTTTCCCTTAGGGCCACATGGTGCTAGGTTTTCATTGTAGACACATTTCTCAGCATTGTAAAATCTCTCCTATCACTAAGCACCAACCTACAGCTCTCAGAACCTGGACAGAGAAGGTCCTAAATAAAGAGGACTTAGCCCAGCCTCCAGCACATGCCAGTTCCAAGCTGGCAGAGGCTTGACTGTGGCTGCCTCAGGCCAAGTGAAACCTTACTTGCACAATGAGTAAATTCTCTCAGGTCACTAACCTGCCTTCTTGCAGCTACAACTTCTAGTCCTGTCAAGCAGGTGAAGTACCAGCCTCACACTCCCAGGTCAAAGAAGCAAGTCCTGTATTTGCATATGTGGGCCGAGCCATAAGAACTTCAAAGCCAGTTTGGTGATCTGCATGTCTGTGAGTCATCAGAGTTTCAAAGACAGTCCTGAGCACCCCAGTGGAATGTTTGCCTAAGGAATCCCTTCCCCAGGAGACTTGGAAACTCACTGGAATGGAATTCTACTCAAGATTTTGAACCACAGATGCCCGTTCTTTAAACCTAAAAAGGTGACTTCAATCTGCAAATTCTAGAAAATATAATATGTACCTTCCTGCAGGCCACTTGAAGAAACAGCTAAAGTTGTTTTGGCTTTTTTTTTTTTAATAACAGACACCTATGTTACAGTGCTTATCACGTGCCTCATACAATTTAAATTTCTTTCTCAACTTCACCCCCCGCCCCCGTATATCCCAGGCTGGCCTTGAGCTCTCAATCCTCCTGCCTCACCCTCCCCAGTGCCAGAATTACAGATGTGACTACCATTCCTGGCTCTGATGCAGTTTTAAGTGCTGTACAAATATTAATACACTACTTCTCATAGCAATCCTCTGGTAGAGGCACTATGACCATCACTCCTGTTCTGCTAATGAAGAAATGGAGGCACAGCAAGGGTAAGTAACTTTCTCAAAGCTCAGATGGATCAATAGTGATGAGATTCAAACTGGAGCAATGAGGCTCCAGGACCCAGGCTCTCCCTCTTTTGGTCCTAAAGTCTCTTCTCAAATACTCATTTCCAACAGCCAAGGAGACTGCCAGTGAAGTACAAAGTTTGCATAAGTGTGTCACATTTGTAAATATACACATACAATAATTTGGATGAGTGCTTAGCGTACTATTTCTGCTTTATAGTGGATGAATTTTCAGCACACAGGTGAGAGCACTGACAGGAGAGCTGGTAGGAATGGCCGTTTGGCATATGCACTGCTAGGGACCTAGCATGCCCTGTATTTCCTTGTACAATAGTTAGATGTTGAGGCATCCTTAATTTCTCTAATGTGCTGGATGAGGACCCAGACAATGGGGCTGTGTAGAAAAATTCATGACTTTTGTGTGGGCTCATTGTACCTTGAAGGACAATGTTTTCCTCTTTGGGAATGGATGTGGGAATATGGCAGTGGCATAGGAGGAGTGGGGATTCCTCCATTTGTCTCCAAGTCCCACCGTCTCCTGCTTCTGCCAAACTCTTGCTCCATCTGTTAGTCTTTCTGTCTTGGCTCCTGGTGCTCAGTGCTCAAAGTCTCTCTCGATCAAAGATAAAAAGAAATGCTCCCAAAAATGATATGCTTCTTATCGGAGGAATAAAGAAAAAAATAAGACAGAGAGAAAGGCAGTAACTTTCTTCTTGGTTATAACATCAGCTCAGCTCAGCTCATATCATAACAATGGAGGCTGGATCTTCCTGACTTTCATGAAATGACTCAATCTCTGGCACCCACTGAATCTCCAAGCGCTATGACAGTGAATGCACATCTGTGGTGTCACACGCACAGGTGTGTGGTGCTGCTTTGTTCTAACTGCCTGGAATGCCTCCTGAGGACCAAGAAAGTCACTCTCTGGCTGCAACTTGTTAAGACTGGCTGTCTTTTAATGACAACCATGTATCAGTGAAAAGAAGGAAAACTGCTGTACCTGTTCTGAGGTTGTTTCCCAGATTCTGGGAGAGAACAAAGGTCTTCTAATATTAAGGAGGACTCCCTAATTCCATCCTCACAACCAGAAAGGCAAGTTAACACTCAATTACTCAACCATGCAAGTCAGACAGCTGAGTTCACCCTTGGTTCTCAAGGTCAAACACAGACTGTGGTGGAACCAAGATCTAGGCCATCTGCACCTATCACCAAAGTTCATGTTCTTTCTTCTACATTCATAACTAACACACACATAAGATGATTACACATATATAAGCATCCCTTGGTCTCCATGGTGGATTGGTCCCAGGATCTCCTGATAATACCAAAATCCACAAAGCTCAAGTCCCTAATATAAAATGTTTTAATATTTGCATAGAACTATGCAATCCTCCTGTGTGCTTTACATCAGACCTAGGCGACTTATAATACCTAAATGCTATGCTGTATCATTACACTGTATTGTTCAGGGAGCAATGACAATAAAAAGACAAGTCTTTACATGTTCGGTGCAGATGCTTTTATTTTTTAGGGTACTTATGATCTGAAATTGATTGAACCTGGGGATGTGAAACCCAAGGAAACAGAACCATACATGAATATATATTTCAGTAAATAAACATATATTTGAGTAACGTGTATTTACTATATACATAGTATACATAATGGATGGACAGACAGATAGATAGAGATAGAGAGATTGATCGATCGATAGATAGATAGGTAGATAGATAGATATAGGATGATTCATGTGGCTGTCCCATCACTGCAGTTGTGGTAAATCAAGCAACAGGTAGGAACCCAGTGCTCCCCACTCTTACAGTGCCTGTCAGCAGAGAACATATTCTGGTTTGGAGCTATTCTGTTGGGTCCTGTGTTTCAGGAAGCAGATGAGAAAACACTGACCCCCAGACCATGCTAATGGCTCCCTGAGGACAAGGGCTGTTTCTGCCACTCTTTTGAGCCTCACTTCACTCAACCTAGTGCAGTGCTAAGCTCTGAGGTGCTCAGTGGTTGATTTGTCTGGGGTATTTTCTGATTTATACAGTGAAGAGAAACAGACATACATGGGAGAAATGCTCTTTTGGAAAATGACCCTCCATTGAACCTAGAGAATCTAGAGAACACTCTTCTCTATCCATTCTGTGACCCAAAGGAAGAGGCAAACAATGATGCTCAATTCTTTCCACCTTACTTCTGCCTCATGCAGCTTGGCATCTCTTTCCACCCACCTCCTAAGCAAAAGAATACTCTTCAATGCTTCTTTCCCTTTTTTATCCCCTCTGGGATTAGGAACTACTTGTCAAGTTCCTGGAAATAGGCTTTCCCAATAATCTACCCTGAATCCCTCTCACCAAGACAAGAAGCCCCCCACCCCCCCACACCTGGGATTCATTCTCCGTAGTAGGAGATCTGGATTTTTAACTCTGGACTTTAGAAGCTGGGGGCGGAAGAGCCCAAGTCAGCTTAAAAATAAAGCCACTCCACAGAAATGAGTGTTGAGAAGGCTAGGGGAGAGAAGAAATGCCATCCAGACACCCCAGGAATTTAAAAAGACAGTATAGCATCCTGAGAGCTCATTTTTAAGTTTCCATGGAATATTCCAAATTAGACATTTCTAAGGAGCTTCACAATCTTGGCTAATGCTCCATAATTCCTAGAACACATCCTCTGTTCTGCTGGTAAGTGAAGAGGTGAAAGGGAAAGAGAGTAAAGAAGGAAGGTGACCAGAGAGCCCAATGGGGAAGAGACTCTTTCCCATAGGTCATACAACCAAACAGGAATGTGCAGGACACAACAGGCGGCTGTGAAGTCATAGCTCATCACGTCATCATCAGAGAACTGCCAAATTGTATGGCTTCTGAGTTTATGATAAGCACAGGGTTCCAAAAGAGCCTGCCACTAAAATGTTGAAAGGCTGTTTGCAACAGGGGGGCTGCTGGCAGTAGAGGTGTGACAAGTCTTTATTATAAGAGGACATTTAGTGTCTTTAGAATCTGGGCACAAAATGCTAATGGTAAGTACACATCCCAGACAATCCAAATCAACCATGAATATTTCCAAGCAGTCCTTGGGAAAGGAATCAGGGGACATGGCCACCTACTGTGAACCAATTTTTGAGCTTCCTGTGAAATTACACATCAAGCTGTCTTCAACAAAAACATCTAATGAGGAAGAGATCAAGTTGATCCTCAATTGTGAGGTTTCAAGCCTAGTAGGGTGGCTGCTGTGCAGGGTAAGAAGTCCTGACAGGAGCTGCCTAGCACCTGACTCTGCAGAATTGGCTATGGCTCTCCACCTCCATTTGCTCAGCACTCCTGAGTTGGGCACAATCTTACTGAGATAGATGTCACCCGTGGGCTGCCACTCAGTGACAGGAGCTGCTCCAATACCACTTCCTTGCTAGCATGAGAAAAGATAACCACAGAATGTCACAGTTCAGAGGGACCCAGAGGGATCCCTTATAATTGGGAGAAGCCATGCACAGGTGTCACACAGTGAAAGCAACCAGAAGGGTTGTACATAGAGTGTGCAGCAAGTAGTCAGTGCTCAAAAACTTAGTTATTATTTTCACTACAACATCCCGGGGAGGCAGGGTTCCATGGTATTTCCCTGGACAACAAGAATTCCTGTGCTCAAGTCAAGGACAGGGCCATGTGGTTTCTGTCCAATTCCAACAGGATGACCATAAAATGAAATCAAGGTTCTGGTCCACAAGCCCAGAATCCCCTCCTGCTGGCATTGTGGAGGTCCACTGTTCAAGAGGCTGCCTGCCCATAGTGGACACATGAGGGTTAACACTGGAGGGGAAGCTGATGGCTGCCCAGCTCACAAGGCTTCTAGAAAGGTATCAGCCAAACCAATAGTTAGGTAGGGGTAGATAAGTCAAGTCTTTATTCTTACCCAGGATCCATGCCAGAGATGGACCTAAAATTGAGTGTGACAAGAAGTCTTTACTTCGAAGAGCTCAAGGTATAGGAGGGAAAAGCAGTCTGTGACCAGGATGCTCTTGCATGGAATTGGCCAGTACAGTGTAAAGACAGATGTTAGCGAGGCCACTCCACTACCCTTGACCCCAGCATAGATCCCTCCTCTCTCCACTCCCTATTGCCTGGCTTCTTCTTTCTTACTTTTATGATCATTGGCCCATCTGTGAAATATGAATGCTGATCTAGAGCTCTGATTTCTAAAGTACTCACTTCTAAAGCATCTTTAAGAACCACTCCTTAAGGAGTGAATCGGGGAGGAGAGCAAAGGCATGGGCAGGCTCTTGTATCACCAGTGAAAAGAGAAATCATGGTCTCCCAGGCCTGCTTCTTAGGATGGAGTTCCAAAAGACATACTGTCTAGGAAAAGGGCTCCAGGAACAAGTGATTTAATAACCTGGGGGGAATGCTATTATCCCCACCTCTTCTAAGAGACTTACAGTACAAATTAATTTTCTAAAGCTATCTTGAAGTGAAAATCTCACCTAACTCAAACTTATTTGACTACTAAAACCTATCAACATCCCAATGAAAACAACATTCCATTGAATGTCATCTTCTAGTGGCTGGAAATACTTTTAAGGAGCAGGCAGCATTTTGATTGGGCCCAAAGATGGGTAGGGTTTCATGAGGCCAAGATGAGGACAGATATGTCAACCAGTCATTCAAAACACACCGCTGAACACTTCCTAGAAGAGAGGCCAACCCTGGTGCTCAGGAGCTGCCACCACACTGGTCTCTGCACTAAGGCAGAGTGAGGCACACCTGGTTCTAATTTGAGAAAGTGTGCCCTCTGTTTGGGGAGCAGTAAGGCTATAGTGAGGGTAAAGCAGATGTAAAAAAAGAGAAGCAGTATATAAGCAACTTTAATAGCAAGAGGAGCTATTAAACCAGTTGTTCCCTGGGCCACCTACTATGTGTTGACTGCACTGGTTATGTCAGGAATAATCATTTCCTTCCGCCAAGACTAGTGGAAAAAAATCTCAGCAAGCTCTTCCTTTTGCTGGCCCTGAGTTTCCTCATCTTTAAGAGAACCAGACTGGCTAAATTCTCTGTGGTTCCTTCAGGCATCAACATCTCAGGGTTCTGTGATTATACGGTAAGACAGAACACCCTAAGACTAAAAGATAGGAATATTCAGGAGAAGACCTGTTGGTCTGGATATTTGTGAAAAACAAACAAGAAACCCACAACACTCTTGAAAGGCTGGGGATGCAGCATTTGCCCAGAGTATGTGAGGGACTGAATTTCATTCCCAGCACCAAAAAAACAAAAACCCTTGAAGAAAAATGAGAAGGGGGAAAATGGAGCACATTCTCTCTTCGTCTCTCAGGGTTCAGACTCCCACCACCTGATACTCAGGATCTCATTTCACAAATTGGAAGAATAAATGTAGCATACTCTACGAGCATCAATTTTGCTCAAAAAATTGAGGAAAGCAAATTTGATTTTTGTACTAAAAGGAGACATATTTTAGAATAGAATGAAATATTCTCAATGTGTTGGAATCGATAACCCTCCTGTGCCAAAAACAGACACACAAGAGACAGAAAATCTTGACAAGGCAATTTCTCTTGATCAAGAGGGTGCAAGCATGTGCTCACTCCAGCTAAGCAACACATAAGCACAAGATGGCTGACAGTGGCTCCTCCTTATATCCCTGACGCAGTCGTACCTGGGCCTCACCTGGGATTTGTCCAGGTCAAAGGTTCACAGTCTTTCCCGATTGGATAAAATTGGGTTAGGACATGCAGCTTGGTGGACAATGGAGTTGAACAGGAATCCGGAAGGAGAAGCAAGGACCCTTTAAACATGCAAGTCACCTAAGATGGCGACCTGAGGAATTTTTAAGTAATCTAAGAGGGTAACAAATACTTCGATAGAAAAGATCATTTTTCTTACAAATGTACTTTAAAGATTAAAAAATGAGGACTTTAAGAGCTATCTGGCTGTGATGGCTTTTGTTCTATGGCTTCAGAGTACTTTGGGGGTGATTGTTCACTGTCTCTCAGCATTCGGAGGACACATGGAGGAAAGTAAGTGGTGAGCCCAAAGCTTTAGTCATTTAAATCTTGTAGAGAATTAATCTGTGCCAGAGGCAGAGACTTACCATTAGATTGGTCTTCCCCATAGTTCTTATGGGATGGTGCATACAAGAACATCAACGCAAAGACATACAGGTTCCACATCCCATAGATGCCTGTGAAAAAAGCACTGTTCACTTGGACAGTGACGCCACCCCATTTCCAATGGCCTTCTGTCACCTATAGAAAAAGAACAGTGACATCCAATTGGAGCAGAGAAGAAACATAATACCAATATAGAAACCAACCAACATGATAACCAGGGCTCTTCTATGGAAAGTCAAGGGCCATGTAAGACTCCATGTTTTAATCTGAATCATCCCAGTAAAAATTGGTCAACTGTGGAATTACCATGTGTGAGGCACAGAGTCAGGGTGTTTTCCTTGGCTACACATTAGCATCACCTGTGGAGTGTCTCTTCTCAAAAACAGCCATCCATCGTTATCCCTAAATTAGAGATTGTGTTTGAGCCTAACTCCTATCCACTATTGTTAATTCCTCCTCTGCTGGGGCTAGATGTAAACTCCCTGCAGGCAGGAGTTTTGCTTGCTACCATATCTCCAGTGGCTGACAGCCCATAGGTGTGCAGTGACATAGGTTAATTCAAATTTAGGCTCTACCACTCACTCTGTTTAATCAGACAAGTAAGGCTGAAGACTGTAAACTTCAGTTTACTTAGTGTAAAATTAAAGTTATGAAGGAGAATTAAATAAAATATTTTAAAACTGTGCTACACAATAAACAATAAATCTTATTTATAAAATGGCACTCAAGGTAAGTCACTCAAAGGTAATTATGAAGATTTCATATGCTCAGTAATTCTGTAAGAGATGTCTTGAAGGTGCTTTTGTCTGCGTTAATGACTTGGTAATTGTTTTAAGGGCTGCCTGAAGACATATGGATTACACTAAGAATTGTCAACAGAGCTGTTGAGCTCTGAGATCACTGAAATGACTTTGACCACTTCTGCTTGCTGCAAGAAACTTTAAATGGGAATAAAAGAAAGTACTGGATGAATGCTTCTGTGACAGTTTAATGAGGCTGGGTTATATAAACGCTCTCCAGGAGCCACTTCTAAATGGTAAGACAGCAAGCTGGAATCTAAATGTTAATGACTTTAACAAGCAAGCTGATGTCACCTCATGCTTATGATATAGAAGTCTGCATGCCTTCATGCACTCCTCTGTATTCTCCAAGACCTAGTAAGGTGTTAAGCACCGGTTTTTCCTTTTGGAAGACCTGGATTGTAAGTGAATGGGGTTATGAAGGTCTAGGATTACCAGTATTAGTTTGGCCTTAGTGATACATAACTGGTCATTTTCATAACTCATAAACTACCACCATGAACCCTTATTTTGGAAAATAATTAATTTTATATGAACTGTCCAGGAGTGTTTATTTAGCAAAGATGGATTTTATAACCATTAGTGACTTCAGGTCATGCTTCAACATTCAAGCTACCTATGACTTCATGGAAGTGTCTCCAAATGCTATTCTTCTTACTTTAAAGTACAGAATATCCTAACTTTATAAAAACTATAATACTTAGAGCATCTTATGACAATTTTTCCATGAGGATGATGGAAAGGGAAAGGAAGCTTTAGTAGTTTCTGGAAATTTATGTGCGTGCCCCAACACTTTTCTGCAGGGAGTAGATGTAGGAGAGGAGGCTAGGCTCAATGAGCTGTAAGCAAGACAGAATAGGATGATTTTTCTATTGTGTTAGGGCAGTGGGCCCTTCAGTTAGGGGAAAGGCCTATATCACATCCTGTGACATAAGCTGGGAAAACAATCGACAATTCTGGCTAACAGATTATTGCTAGGATTGGTATGACTGACCTATATAAGGAAACACCAGTTTGCAGACCTGGTACCCAATGGTCTCAACACGTCCGTTGAATGAATGTCAAAGTACAGAAATGTTGCAGGGACTCAGCATAAACACATGGAAATAGCACATAAGGAGAGAAACAGTCATTCTTAAGAAACTTCTGCCCAAGGCAAAGCTGGTAGGGCAGAGGGAGCACCAAGGTGTAATCTGCCTGAGGAGGAGTTTTGTAGGTTGGCTCGCAGTGGGAAAGACCATGGTGGGAGGGGTAGAGAGAGGTTGTGCCACTGGCTCTGAGGAATTGGTTGGGATGGACCTTGAGTCTAAGGGGTCAGTCTAAAAACAGGAAACTGAGGTTCTGAGTGGTGAGACATTGGACTCCTATCTATTTGGCTTTGGAAGGTTGGATTCTGAGGTTGGAGGACAGCATCCTTGAGTAGGTGATACCTTACCCAGACCTCAAAGGACAAGACCTTTTTTTGGCCCAAGGGCAGGGACACCATCAGTCGGTGGTGGTGGTGATGGGTATGGAAGGAAGGAACGCTTCACAGCAAAACCATTTTCGCATGCTGGTGGTGGAAACCTTTGAAAGGACAATACACTCAGCCAGTGGGAGGTGGAAAGTCTAGGGGAGGTACCACTATGCTGGGGACTGGGGAGAACTCCCAGATGTGTTCCTGGGACGTGGAGATCCTATGACAGGGGGAGGTTCAGAATCTTAATCAGGGTGGTACCACTAGGAATAGAAAAAAAGAAATATTACACCCTATAGTAAGTCACAATAATTGCACTTAACAGTGAGAAGAGATGGTAATATGTGACATGTGCTAGTTTAAATATTGATCTCTACTGGTTTCCTTTATTACCATTAAAACAAATGGTAAGCACAGAAATGACCAAAGCTAATATTCTTCTGTAATAATAGCAAGAATAACCATAGTTAACACTTATTCAAAGTTCATAATATTCCATGATATTCCAGTCACTATGCTAAGCATCTTACATGAAAGATATGATGTAGTTTTAACACAACTCTGTGAGGCAGGTAATATTTCCATTCAATACATGGGTAAACTGTGGTAGAGAGAGGTGTGGAATATCTTGTCCAAGGTTGTTCAGCTAGAAATCACCGCCATGGGTCTGACCCTAAAAGAAGGTGCTCTTAACCCTTATACAACACAAGGGTAGGAATATTATCTTAAACAGGGTCAGTCTCTGAAGGTAGCATATGAGGCAACCATTGTGTAAGATCAAATTTCCTTTGGAAATTTATTTCACTGACCATTTTTGTACAGTATATGTACATAGGTTTGTATGTACATCCAAGTCTGTACATGTGCACGACATATCCTAGATATAGTGATGTGTGATATATAAACTGGATATATGTACAAAATATAATTTTACAGAAGAACCACAGGACTAGCATACTCATACAAGACAGCCATGCAGAAGCTAAGCCTGACTGAGAAAATAGTATACTATATCTTCTTCTCATGTTTGCTCTGGGACATGCATGTTGTTTGGAATACAGTTGTAGAACTACCCATGTACTAAGTTTTAAATCTGTAAATACATTATTTCCTGCAGTGGACAAAGAGTCGAATTGCCTAAATAAACTGAATAGATACCCTAGTTTGGAGAGCGGATTTTGTTTTCCTATGTCTTCTCTCAATTACTCAGCCCTAAGACATCTTGAGCTCTGAACACGTTCCCACCAACATGAACCACAATTAGCAGCCTTAGCAGAGCAAGCCTTGTAGATCCAAAATCTACTGTCAAGGCACAAAGGTGAACTTCCCTGCCCCCTCTAACTTTCAGAGAGAAAAATCAGACAGCCCCACTCTAAAAGAAAAGAAAAAAATCATCTCACTCTCTGCATAAGTCTTTTTTCTAAAAGACACTCCTTTTCCTGGTTTTACATTGCAACAATTTACTTTTGTGTGAAACCACCCAATTATACCCCTGGAGCCAAGGGAAGGTCAAATCCCTTTACACCCAGTAGTCTTGACAACAGTATTCCACTTAATAATAAGATTTCCAAACCCTAGATGCAGGCTCTCTTACGGGAAATGTTTCCTCCGTAAGTCACAGAATGAAGTAATCACACACACACACACACACACACACAAGAGCTGGATACAGGTTCTCTGGGAGTTCACTGCATGTAGCTTGGCCTGAATGTCAGGCCCCTAGAGGTCCCCTTAGTGATGGTCAGTGACCCTCCCCTGCATGGCACCTCTGTCCCTGGTGCCACCACCTCTACATACAATACTTCTTTTTCCTCCAGAGGGAAGGGCTGAGAGACCAGACTAATATGCCATCTCTTGGTTGCTATGACTGAGGCCATTAAAATGGCAGGCATTAAAAGGCTGCACCTCAGTCCCCAGCTACAAAGCTTCAAGGTCACCACATTCCACAGCTTCCTGTGGGCCTTTCATTCCTGTCCTTAGAGCTTCAATATCCTGGCGAGATCCCTTCGCATTATATTTCATGGGGCTTAAATGCAAGCTCTCCCAGCAAGCCTGAGTATAATAGGGGTTTTAAAACATTCCTTTTACCTAAGGCTGGGATCCATTTCAAAAAGTCACCCAATAGGTTTTCATTCAGGTGAGCTCATTGCTCTGACATTCCAAAATGACATTAGAAAATAAATCCTCCAATGACTACATTAATACAGTACCTGGGACACAGACAGTTATGCTGGAAAACATCTTAGATGTCTATAAATAAACCTTAAAAAAAAAAAACCCAGCAGGAGGAACGTGATCTGCTAATGGAATTCAAAAGACCTCATGGCCACCCTCTAAGAATTGAAATCCACTCCAAGCCTATCAGGGCAGATAGATACAAAAAGTCAGCCATGGGCTGCAGCCAGATACTTGGGCAATGGAATATTCATTTTTTTCTCCAATAAAAAGCCACAAACTATGTTTCCTGGAAGACAGCTTCCATCGCTTTGAAAAATGCACTAATTAAACATGTACGAGGTTAAATTCTGGCAATGTGTAACCACCGTAAGGTTGTATCCCTTTGACTTCAGGCGGACAGAACTCTGCAGAGACAGTGAGAGATGGCTGTGGGGAGAACTCCAGCCTTGTAAAGTGGCAGAAGCACGCTTCTGACACTCTTGCTTGAATATGGATGTTTAAGCCTTAGTTGAATAAAAAACTCATTCAGGATTAGAAGTGGTTTTACTGCATTTAGAGTGGAGAGGGAAATTTCCAAGGTTTGATAAGTGAACATTCTGATGGAAACAGAGCACTGTTACAGGTCAAGCAGATGCGGGGAACAGAACTTATGAAGACATGTATATGGTAGTATTGTTTTATACTTTTTCAAATGCGCTTTGGTTTTCAGCAGAGCCAGCAACACCAACAAGGCACAGCCAACAGAGATCTACAGGCTCTTAACCTAAGGTTTCCTTGGATAGAATTCAAGGGGCCCATGAACTGGAATAGCAAAAGTATATCTTTATCTTTACCAGTCTCTGAAACTGCTTCCTTCAACTATAGGTGTAGAAAAAAAAAAAATCTGTATAGTATTAGCACTAATTGTGATTTTTCATTCAATAGAAACCATATTTTCATATCAATTACATTTGCAGGAGATATACAGCATACAGTATATTAATACTCATAATACTAATATTTATAATTATAAATATGTCTAACGGTACACACATATGAGATTTCCTTTGAAACCCAAAATATTTAATTTTACTCATTTAGAAGAATTCTATGAAGAGACCCTTTGCCAAGTTGCTAAAGGAGTCCCTACAAAGCCCCTGTTCTGTAGCCAGGCACTGGTGGCTCAGTGTATAATCTTATCTACTCAGGAGTCAGAGAAAAGGAGGATCTCAGTTTGAAGCCAACTCAGGCAACTCAGGCATAGTTCATGAGACTCTATCTCGAAAATACCCAATATAAAAAGGGGCTGGCAGAATGGCTCAACTGGTAGAGTGCCTGCCTAGCAAATATAAGGCCCTGAGTTCAAACCCTAGTACTGCCAAACAAAACCAAACCCATATGCTAGAGGAAAAACTGCTAGCAGAATCTATTGGCTCTAACAAAATTTTCTACATGGCCCAAATATAAAGATGACAGAGGATCGACAAGAGACAAGTGGACAAAGTTCTGGTCTCCAACTTGTATGTATTTGGTCAGACTTCTTGCTATTTACATGAACACAGCTAGCCATGCTTAGGATGTGCCAGTGGCTCTGACAATCACTTTGCAATATTACTTTCCTTGATCCTTACGGCACCCTCTAAAGTTGGAATTTTTGTTTAACAAGAAAGATTAAACCCTAGTATTGTTAAGTAATCCATCCACATTCGGACTCAGCTGGAAAATACATAAATGGTAAATGTGTCTAAAGCCATTAGATTTCATATTCTGTGAAAGATTTTTATGAAGCTCAAATGAATGATATGCACAAAACATTAGATTTAAACAGTCCTTTCTACCTTCCATAGAAAGTTACCAATACTTTAAACTTATTACAGCTATCATTATTGAGGTTTCAAAGTACAGTGAAACTTTGAGTTTGGGAAATAACCAGTGGAATGGTAAGTTTCTATCAGAAGGATTTTTGAATTACATTTCATGTTTTAGTGGCAATATAATTACTACAAAGAATGGATGATGGACTGTTAGTGGATCTGTGTTAACACTAGATAAGGATCCAATCCAATTAATACTTGCTTATTAGTGTTTGTGCTACAGGGCTTGAAACACTTATTCTCAATGTGGCTGCAGGCTTTTAATTTATTCAACAATTTTACCTTCCACAAGGCTGTACTAAAAGGGGAAAAAGTCAGCCATGTGGCCAGGCATAACAAATCCCAGCTTACAGTGATCAAAAGGCTTGAACAGGTGTTCAACGTGAGAGACTCTCTGCTCCCTGCCTCAGCAGCTCTGTAGAGTTTGCTGTGCAGTGTAGAGGCACCCCTCCAGGGACATTCTCCTCTGACACTCCAGGATGCACTTACCTGACTAACGATGAAGAAGATAACAGTCATGGCAGCACAGGCCAAGGTGATAAGCATGAGGAACTTGAATCTGAAAATCAGTCCCTATTAGGAAAGTCAGGAAGAGTGGTTTAGCATTCCACCAATCTTTTTCTCGATATATAAATCTATGAACAGCTAATTTTAAAGAAATCTGCAAAACCAAATTCCTAAGAATAACAGTAAAATAATTCTCCGCATTAGAGGTGAATGTGGCTGAGAAATTTCTTGGGCCAAATATCTCCTTTGTTCTTATCACTTCTGAAATACTGATGCCAGAGCCTGGGAATTTATATTCGCAACACGTCGTAAGGCTGCTAATTTCTCTGCTAAGCTGGTTATGCTTCTCTGCAAGGGTTCAACGTTACCAAATCCAAGTTTTCTACAGTTGTAATAAAATTCTGCTCCAGTGAACAAAGAGAAATATGCATATTAATCAACATGAAGTGGACTTGGTTGAATTTTCTCATGTGTCACCCCAGAACTGAAGACAGACAAGCTTCAGAAAGTGCTCGAAGCCTCCTGAGAGCAGAATTTAAGGGAATCTGTGTTTCTGGGTGGGATGCCTATTAATCAGAGGCTCTTCTGGGTGGATCGACTGCATAGAAAAACCCTGTGGTTGTGTAATTTCCCTTCTCTTTTCACGGGGGACTTAGGCCCATGTCTCCAAGCACAGCCACTTAGGCATGAACCAAGGGACTCTTGAAAAATCAATGTCTGCATTAGGGATTTGAGGGTGTTAAGTATTTCCCTTGAGTGAGGATATGATCTATAAACAGATTACTGAGCTCCAAATGAGCACTTGCTGGTTATTTTAGGAGAATGCAGACAGATAAGAGTCTGGGAAGTGATCACCTGGGCTGAAGCCATGTTAGGGCTGGTTCTGGGCAAGAGAACCTGGTGCAAACTTCACTCCAAGCCAATCCCCAATTCTATCATAGTCTACTCTCCCATTTAGCATCTTCCATCCAAATCTGTTCTTGAAGAACCAGCTGAACAAGTTTCCATCTCACTATGGCAGGCAGGCCTCTATACCACAGGTAGCTGGTTAGGTGAATCTTGGAGGAGGTCTTGGCCTCTACATTTGCCATTTGCCCAGGAGAATCTCTGAATGTGTGTTTGAAAGGACAGCTTTTCAACCTCCGGGGGGTGTTGTTTACACAGTGGAGCTGGAGGTAATAAGTACCTGTTCCACAATGAGCTAAGACAGCTGCTTACCTCGTAGTGTAGCCGTCTGACTTTGCTCATGGCTGGCAGGCTGGACTGCTTCCCACTGATGTTCCGAAACACCTGAAATACCATGAAACACAGGAACAAAAAGTAGAGGCAGAGGCAGATGCCAGCCACGACAATGAAAGCCATCTGAGAGTGTCCAGTAAAGGAAATGGCAGGTTCACCAAGGACACAAGCCAAGAGTGCATAAAACTTCTCCCAGCTTTGCTGGTGACACATATTTTGTCTTCAAGAATTTAGGAAATTTAGAAGGCAATGTAAATATTAAAACCTGGAATTCTAAGGCCAGAGATGGAGGAGGGAAGTCTGACTCACAACAGCTCCATAGAGGGGAGGAGCTTTCAAATTGCTTTCTAAGCCAAGTGAGATAAGAAACTGTGCTCTGCTTGATAGAAATGCAGAAGGTGGGGTCCACCTTAGACCTAATGAATCAGAATCTGCCTTCCAACCAGGTGTCCAGGAGATTCAATGTGTCATAAGTTTGGAAAGCATTAATATAGTGGATACTGGTGGCTAGATATTGATCAGGTGAAAAGCTGCATGAGAATCACAGGCAGAGTTTAAACAAAGATGACCAGGTCCACTCTAGATGTAAGGAACCAGATTTCCAGGGACAGGAAACTAAGCATAAGCACGTTTAGAAACCCTGTTTGCTAAGAACAAGATGCCCTAGAAGAGTGAGGAGAGGATGGATGGGGGGGTAGGTGCAGCAGCAGCTCCCAGGGGCCCACCCAGGTGGAGAGCAGAAAGACACATGGTGGGGTTGGGTTGGGGGAGAGGGGCAATACACTTTGAGACTCATTGTAAACACTTTGAGACTTTCTATTAGAGCCCAGTCTGAGACCTAGCATGAACTGGCGTGGAAGTTGGGTGGCTTGACTTCCACTCTCTCTGCTATGACAATTCTCTCCTAATATATATATTTACCACTGTAACAATTGTGAACTCAGCATATATCTTTCATGAAGTAGTATATTTAATGCAGTTTTTCTTCCTTCCTGTGACCAATAGTACCCTGGAACAAAGGGAATGTGGTTATTTGTTTCCCTAGATCCTCATCCTATCTGTAAGATGAAAGGGCTAAAACTGATATGACATCATAAATGTGTTGTGCAGCTAAACATTTTTTGGGGGGAGTGACGCAACTCAACTCTCTCATCTTTAAGGGACTGACACTACTGTTTAATTTAATGCATAAAATTTGTGACACTAATAAATCAATATAAATATCACAGCCAGACAAAGCATGGCACATGGCAAGATATTAGCTGCTGGAATGCCAGCAGCTTCCTTCCCACTCCAGAGGAGAAGCTTTTTCTCTCAGAGCACTAAACATATTATTCAGGAGATAAAATATTTAAATCCAGCATCCTGAAAGGGATAAGCCAAAACTGTCACTTCTGCTTCGTGAAGGTGACACAGACAGAGTTTATGAGAGCCAACCAGAAGCCCTGGCGTTCCTCTGGAACTAATCACCTTAGCCTTATCTCCATTCATTCTCAGGAGGAAGAACCACTGCACGGTGTGCCAACACACGAAGGTCACTGTCAGAAGTCTCACACACAGGCGACCTCGGATGCCAGCTCTCTCCCAGGGGCCCGGAGATGAACCTCCATGGCCCTAGGGAAAAGCTGTCATGCTTCAGTCTGCAGTAAACAGTGTGAACAGACAACTCAGACAGGCTGTAGTTAAGACCAGCAACTCTGATCCCTCTGCTGGGGGACAAGCTTCAACCTCCTCATTTTGCCTCCTTTCACCCGAGCTTGAAAGCAAGCAGTAATTCTCCTCATTATTTGCCTTAATTGTGCTCTTATCATTGGTCTGAAGATCAAAGCTGTGGCTGAGCACATATGGACGGCACAGCGGAGCTTGGAAAGTGATCATGGGGATCAGGCAGCTATGAGAGGAAATAAAACCCTGTGCCTATCCATCAAAGAAGGATACAGCCAGTTCTGTTCCAACATCTGTAGTCCAGATACTGTAGAAGGGATTTGTGAGTTGTACTCCTCTACAAAAACAAAATAAAACAAAACAAAATAAAAAAAAAGAGATGAGAAGGCAAGACACAATCAACACAGAGGCACAGGCACAGTGGAGCTTCCCTTAGCGTTGCAGCTGGAGGGAAGGGTCTGATAAGGAACTTCACAGAGAAAAGGTTGTAGAATAGATCAGCCCAAGTGTTTTGCTACTATAAAGGACTATGCCTTTGACTTAACCCCAGTTTTTAGCTGAAGGTGTGACCGCATCCAGTGATTTCATTCCAAAGGCTCTGCTCACCATTTCCTTTTTAAAGCTCTTCCTAAAATGATAGGAGTGGATACAGTGAGGCATATTTCAGGTCAGAGTCCCACAGGCACTTGCTCACCTCTCACACATGTCAAATATGAACAGGCAAAAGGAGCCAACAGCCACTGGTCCGACTTGCTTCCAATAACCTGCAATGTGGTTCCGCTCATGCTGATCCTGAGGAAAACCAAATTGAGAAAGGAGATGAAGGTGGGAGAAAAGCAAAGCAATTATACAGGTGATCCAGTCTTTCAGACAATGCTTGCTGACCACCTGTTGTGCATTGAGCACTGAGCCGGACTCCAGCACGGGAGAATGAAGGAAACCAAAAGCTTTCATTCCTCAGTGGTTCACTTCTGCAGGGGAAGGCCTGCACATGAATAGTTTGTCACAAAGCCCATCCCTGGAGGCTCTGACAATCAGAAGAAAGAACAGGGTGTTACGAGAACCAAAGAGGCCTCTGACCCAGCCACGGGGGAGTTTTTGTTACACAAAATAACTCGTTAGAATTAAATTTCTATGTAACTAATAATGTGTATTTGTAAAGATGAAATGATCCCAGAGGATAAAGACATTAAGGTGTTTAATTATGGCAGGTGTAAGAAAAATAGACATTTTCTCCTTATCTTCATTAAAGCCAAAATGATTCCTTTTAACAAGGTTTCACTTTGTAGCTCAGCCTGGCCTTGAACTCTCAGATCCTGTCCCGGCCTCCCAGTGCTGGGATTGTAGGCATTAGCTGACACACACTGCATGAATGACTCCTCTTGACAGATATGCAAAGGCATTCAGAGTAAGAAAAGGGAGGAATGAAAGATAGGAAATGGGGAAAGTCAAAAAATGTATCTGAGCCTCCAGCCTGGGACATGGATGGAAAGGCCCACACCAGCTTGCTCTGGACAATCTGCCTAGCTGGCTGATCCCCTCCACTCCCAGGCCTATGTATCCATGGCTGCCTGCAGGTGAACCCCTCATATTGCAGGATGCCCTCACATGGAATCTGGCAGTGGACAAATCCTCCCTCTCCTCTCACACTGCTCTTCTGCAAGGCAACAGGCTTCAGAGGTCTGTCTGGCTTTCATGATCAAGTCATAATGGAAGGTAAAACAGCCCGTTCTACCATGAAACCTGTATGCCTGACATGAGGACCAAGTTCCAGCTGGTATATCTGTATCCACAACACAAGGACAGGACCATTCTTATTTTTAGTTATGTTGCCTCAGTCTCTCTTAAACTGGAATTTGATGTCTGTGCAAGGAGGTCAGTGTTCTAGGGTAATAAATAGTGTGTCACTAGGTCACTTGGTCAAGCTGCCAGTTGGGAAGGGCCAGGGCCACATTCTCTGGTGGTTAGCATGTTTCTGGGGACAGGACAAGCAGAAGCCAAAGGACAGAAATTAAAAGAACTTGTGTGTTTATTTTCTCCTAACTCACTAACATCTCTTTCAATTCTCACAAAAACCCTACACATGGTCTGGAATGGAGGCTCAGACCTATTATCCCAGCTACTCAGGAGGCAGAGGTCAGGAGAATGGTGGTTCAAGGCCAGCCCTGAGCAAAAACTTAAGACCCTTTCTGAAAGATAGCAAAAAAGAACAGGAGGGTAGGGCTCAAGTGGTAAAGCATCTGCCTAACAAGGTGAAGACCTGAATTTAAACCCCAGTACTGTCAAGAAAACAAAAAATCAAAAATCAAAAAAATCCCTTATATATTAGGCCTTTAAGTCCCATTTTATAGACGAAGAACTTGAGATTATGTAATTTGCCTATGACTACTCAGCAAGTTATAGGCAGGTGGGTGTCAGCACTGCAGCCCACAGAGCAGCTGCAGTGCAAGTCTGTGCTCTTTCCCCAGGGGCCTCTCACCATCATGTGCTCGCCACAGAAGATGATCCAGAAGGACAGAAGCATTGCGTAGAAGATACCTTGCCGGATGTCCCCAAACAACAGCATCCAGGTCCAGTCAAAGCCAATGGAAAACCATTCCACTGGGATATTGATAAAAGTCATGGAAATCCCAAGGGCAAAGATGACTCTGATGGTGAGAGAATGCCAGAAAAGCCAGGTTATTCATCTGGGAGGGAGAGTTCCAAAAACACGAAGCCAGCTTTGAGAACAGAGATGTTACTGATTGAGACCGGACCATTTAGCAGTTTCTTAGCTTTCATAACGAGTTTCTGCCCTGAGATGCCAAATGTCTTAGCTGAGGTCACTGCAGAATAAAGGAGAGTTTCACTGACCTTTCTATCTAGTTGAACCTAACCCCTTGAGAGACCCATACTTTATTCTGGTACCATCTCAGATAAGAGTTGCATACAGGGTTTTTGCCTCTCTTATCTTTCTTAAACAGACCAGATTGAGTATAATTGTCCTGTCCTATCATTCAGGATATCATTAACCTGATCACTAAAAACACTCATTATTATTGTGATAGCCTCAGCAACTATGAATTATGTAAGCATATTTGGTTCAATAATAAATGATACCAAACACACATCACATATAAAGTTTTTTGAGTACTTGTTTAGCTTTTATTTTGCTTTTCCCTCATCACACTGTTAACTACCACTTCTCTATTGAAATGTCATTCTTATGCCACTGATTCATCCACTGTTTTTGCATACCCACAAAATACATAGGTTCAGTAAGCACAGATCCCATGCTAGGCATGGCATTAGGGATGCAGACATCTAAATGAAGAGGACCTCATGGAGGTGCATTTAGTGAGGGAGCCAGATAAAGAGGTAATTGAAATACAGGATGGAAAGGAACACCATCCTGAAATACAGGATGGAAAGGAAGGTCAAAAGCATAGAAGGCTTGTATCCCGTGCTAATCACCTTGGCCTAATCTCTGCTTTGTCTCAGAAATGAAGAGCAGGAGCTAGAAGAGAGTTGAGGGGACGGAGGTGGAAAGAGTGTCCTAAGCACTGGGCAGAGCCTGGATGGGGGGCGCAGAGACCTGTAAGAGCCTAAAGTGTTTGTGGAGTTACACATAGTACATCTCAGGAAATAACAGGACATGACATCAGAGAGATAAAGAGGGCTGAGCTCATTACAGAATTTGAAATTTATCTTGAGCAAACTACAAATCTAATAAAAACTTTATGCAATGGAGCAGCACCATTCATTCGCTCACTCTGTCAACAGATGTTTGTTAACCTCCTGTGTTCCAATCTATTCTAGATGCTGAGGCATTAGTAGTGAAAACAAAAAACAAAACAAAACAAAAAGCAAGGATTCTGCCCTCATGATGCTTGCATTCAGACAGGGAGGAAGGTAGGAAGGACAGTAAATAAATGAAGACTGGGCATTCTGAAGAAAAGTAAAGGTGGGTAAGAGAATGGAGAGTATATATGGTGGACAGGAAAAAGCCTCTATGAGGAGAAACATCAGAGCTAGACTTGAAGGAAATGAGGAATTAAGCCACTAAGATACCTGGGAAGGAGTATTTCAGATAAAAAGAATTGCAAGTGCAAAGGCCCTGGGGTGAGAGCATACAAGGCATATTTGATGCAGGCATGTTTGATCAGCATCAAGGGGGCTGAAGAGCAAAGAAGATCAAAGGAAGAGAAGTCAGGGCATTATGGGGTTTATTAGCCAGGGCAAAGGAAATAAAAAGCCAGAGGAGAGCTCTGAGCAGAAGAGTGACAGATCTGGTTAACATTTAAGGGAGCTCTGAGCCGCTGCTGAACAGAATGTAGGAGGGAAATGGTGCAAAGACAGCAGTGGACAGGCTGCTGCTGTCATTCAGGGAGGAGTGACCGTGGGCTGGTGTAGAGATGGTGACACTTCACTTTCCAGGTGGGTTAGATAGAGAGAAGATAAGAGGATAGGATGAAAGAGAGAGAGAGAGAGAGAGAGAGAGAGAGAGAGAGAGAGAGAGAGAGACCAAGAGACTGAGGCTACCTTCCAGCATGAGCAGCTGCAAGAAAAGAGTTGCCACTTACTGAAATGGGGAGGCCTGGGAAAGAAACAGGTTGGAAGTAGGTGGAAATCATCATGGTATGTGTTCAGTGCAAGTAAAGAAGTTAAATAAGCAGCTGGAATATTTTAGTTCAGAGTTGGGTGAGGCTGCTGAGAGAGTAGGTGATTTTTAAGATCATGTGATGTAAAGAGGTCACCTGGGGAACAAGCAACAAGCACAGCTAGTAAAAAGGTTCAAAGGCTGTGCCCTGGCTCTGTGGTTTAAAAGGTTGGAAGGATGGGAGAAAGGAGAATAGCCAAGAAAGAGGTGGAGGAGGCTGTGCGAATTACGTCAAAGGCTGGCAGTGGGTCAAGGAGAGTAAGAACTGAATAATGACCTTGGATTTGGAAAGTCGAGGTCACTGTGATCCTGTGAAGAACAGATTTAGTGATGGTGGGGCTGAATCCACACTGGAATGGGCTCGAGAGAACTGAAGGAGATATTTGGCCTAGACTTGAAGAAGATTCTTGCTGTAGAGGGGAGAAAAATGGTATGGTGACTTGGCAGTGTTGAGTAAGAATGGGAGATGGCAGAGAATGTTTATATATATATATATATTAATGAATTAATTCAGCAGAAAGATCACAGTGTGAGAGAGAACAGGACATATCTGCAGGAGCCTCTTGTGGGGGTGAGAGCAGTTGGGCTCAGTTGGGAGCAACACAGTTCATCCACATAATAGAGACAAGCATCTGACCATGGTATGAACAGACAAGATGGAAGTGCGAGAGAGGGAGGACGCCTAGGATTTATTAATAATTTGCACATGAGATCTGAAGGAGAAAAAGGAGCCCAGTGCGACTGTAGGTGAACTAACGAGCCCAAGTCACATGCTGGCTGCTTGAGCCAGCCATCAGCAGGAAAGGACCACGGCAGATCATGGTAGGGGAATCGGGGTCTCTTAGGAGTGCTTGGGATCACACTTACTTTTCCAGAAGCACTGGGGGTCGGGACATCATGGTGATCCTCCTCCAATACCACACCATAACGATGAAGATGCTGGGAGTAAGAAAGGTCTTCATGGCAAACCACACCTTGGTGAAGCCTCCATTTTGGTGGATTCCCTAGACAGAGACCAATCAATTTTGAAGGTCAATATATCTTAGTATTATTATTTTTTTAACCATCAAATACATCTTGGGGACAGAGGAGCAGAAAGCTTATAGGCCGAATTTTCAAGATCAAAAGTGTTCATACTCAGACAGTGCATGTCTGACCCCTCAAGCACTATATACTAGAAATATACATTAAAATGAATAAAATAGGCCTATGCTATGATAAGAAAATGAAAACGAATATGATCAAAGATTTTTCTGTAAGGTTTGAAATGCTGAAGACAACCTATGTGCCCCATGTGCGGAGATAAGCCAAATACATTAAGGTAAGTCTATGCAATGCAATGCTAAGCAGTATTGAAAAGTATATTATGTGATATTCACAATATACCATTAAATGAAGGAAGAGCAAGGAACAAAACTCAGTTCAGGAGGTTATCTTACTTTTTATAAGAAAACGACTTGTGTGTGTGTGTGTGTGTGTGTGTGTGTGTGTGTACACAGAAGCAGCCTTGGGGAAAACAGATCAAAACCTCAACAGTGGTTATTTCTCTAGATGGTGGGCTATTACAGGTCATTCATTGTTAGGCTTCTCTATGTCTTTACCTGTACTTTCTAATTTTCTACAATAAATATGTATTTCTTGTGCAACTATTTTTAGATTCTAAAAAAATGTCCTTACTCCAGGCTCTAGTTTTCCCCCGATTGAACAAATAAAATGGAAAGAACCTTTACCATTTGTGCTTTGCAAGGTGAGACATGTGTTTAAAAATTTTACTTTATCTTGGTATTGCTTTCATTATGCAATCACAATTGTATTATGATCTTATAATCATTATAATGATCTTGAGTGATCTTAAGCCAATTGAAATCTTAAGTGGGGACAATAATGGCATTATTTTACATTTCTGTAATCTCTCACACAAATCAACTCACTTTATAATGTCCTCTGCCATGGGTGTGTTATGTCCCACTTCTCAGGTGTGTCAAGGGGAGCACAGAGATGCCAAAAGTGAGTTGGAGTTAGTTGCCTTCCAACACACAAGCCCAGGAACCAGTGTTCTTGGCCCATGTTCGGTGTAAGCCTGCTGAATCAATTACATTCACTTACCACCAACCGAATATCCTTTATCTCTCCGATCCCAACGTTGATTTTCTTCTTCTCGTTCACAGGCAGCCGAATATTTAGAAGGTAAAACTTATGAGCCACTGACCCGATTTCCATAAAAGGAAGGACGTCACACTCGTAGTAACGACCCTCATGCTCTTGGGTCTGGAGGAAGAGCAGAGGGCTTGAGTCCAGTCATTATTTCTGAAAGGCTCTGTCTGAATTTTCTCAGGTTGGCAGCATATCACCAATTTTATAAAGCTAATGCCTCAAGGTACACATTAGAGGTGCAGAATGACCGGGAACACTGGAGGCAGGGTGTCCACCCAGCCAGCCTACCCTCAAGAAAAAAAGTCAGCCACATTTGAGGTAAAACCATACAATTTAGGTAAAAAGGAACAGTCTCTTCTGTCTCTTAATACCTTTCTTGTGGCAAACCACACCTTAGTGAATCCTCCATATTGGTGGATTCCCTAGACAGAGACTGATCATAATTTGGAAGATGAAAATATCTTAGTACTTTTTTTTAGCATCAAATGCATTTTGGAGACAGAGGAGCAGAAAGCTCTTCTTGAATTTTCAAGATCAAAAGTGTTCACATTCACAGCAGGTACTGCTCCTAGACACCCTCTGTCCCCTCGTCACTTTTCATAAGAGAAGGATTTTATGTATGAGTGTTACAGTCTCATAGAAGACCACTTTGGTGGTCTGCTAAGAGGGCTTTTTATTTATAGCTTGTCATTGGAGAAGCCTAAGCTTCTGTGGATCAGTCATTTTCTTAAATGTTCAGGAGGAAGCCCTCGCTAAAGTCCATTATACTCTTTGATAATGGCTAATTTATTTCATGATGAAGTATAGAAGCTCAAAATACCTTCTTTCTATTGATCTGACAGGAAAAGGAGCAAACCAAAGAGCCCCTAGGATTTGGAGAAGACAGGAAGGGAAGAAAGGTAATAATAAGATAGTTTGCAGAGAGAGCCACTCAAAATTATGTGATATCCAAGCTTCCTAAAAAACCAAGAGGCAAGATGGCAGAAGGGAGCTAAAATATTAATTAAATAGAAATTTAGCCCAGTTTCTTGAACTAAAATCTCTTGGACTTCCTGACCAACAATTTAAGAGGGACTCCCTATGGTGGTAGGAGTTGAATAGGTGCACAGCTTGCTTTTGAAACTAAATTCTGCTCTCCAGGCATCCTTGCTGAGTGTCTATTGAGGAGTTGAGAACATGGGTATATTCAGGCATGAGCTTCAGCAGACAGGGACTTTTCCTGATACAGCAGAAAAGATCTCCCATTCATGGTGGGTTAAGACACCAGTTTCCATGTTTGCTTGCCACATTCTGATCCAGATAGGGGAGACCTATCATAACTCTTTCATAAGTCTGAATTAATTCATAAGATCTTCATAATTTGTCATAAAATTTTAAAGCAAAAGATCTACTGGAGAGTCAGAAGGAAGAAGATGAGGAGGAGACTATAGTCTAGCATGGGAAGGGCAGATGTTGACTAGGTTTCTTCCCAGACAGTCAGAGCTACAGTGCAATAAATCTTTGGCCTTTGTCCAAACACAGAAGATACCAGTGGCAAGGAGGAGGGAGTGCAGGCATATGCCTAGTTTATGTGCTTCCACATATGGAACTAGACAGTCCCTTCCCAGCCTGGGCAGACATCACTAATCGGTCATGATGATTTATCCTCTAAGATATGAGGGCTCTTATGAGACACCATCAAGTGGTTAGAGTTGACAGGTCATATTTAAAGGATTAAAAATTCTGTGGAAAGAATTCTGCTCACCTTGGGTGCAGGTTAGATGATTCTTCCTATAAACATGGGCTTTCCGTACTCCCCCTCTATCCTTGCCCTTTCACTACTATACTTAGAATTAAGGCTCTACTGCAAATACACTGCAGTTCTGATGCAGCTTAGCTCAGGCTGCACTGTGAGGGCTGACTACCCTCTGTGGTAACAACAGAGGACAGCTTTTTGATGTGTTTCAATCAGAGTCTGGTTATAATTATAGAAATTGAAAATTTGAGGGGGAAAAGAACAAAACCTATTTAGTTTAACACCATTTGATGTGTCTCATCCAAGGTCCCTAAAGTAGTAGCAGAATGGGGATGAGAACCTGGGCCTTTCAACCACACTATATTGCTGCTGATGGGGAAGAAGACACTCAAGTATGGCAGAAAGAGAGCAATGGCTTCTCCAAGACATGTCCAAAGGTAGGCACTGTGCTGTGATGAAGACACTGCTGAGTGACAGGCCAGGAGACTCCTAGTCTAGTCCCAACTTTGTTCCCTGGTTGGGTACCTCGGGTCACCCCACATCATTTGGCCTCACTTTCCTCCTGATAAAACAAGAAGGTTAAATAAGATGATCTCTGGGATCTCTAATTCCCTGCCATGGATGTCTGGGTGTCTTACACTTCCTAGTTTCTAAGGAGAGGATAACAGTACCATGCACGAGAGAAACTTAGCTAAGCGCAATAAATGTAGAGAGACACACTGGCTTGTGCAATTCTGACTGGCTTACCTGCCTGTGTCAGGGACAAATTCACTGTACCCTGCTGGAAGCTTTTGTTTCTGCACTGAAGTTCTGCCTCTGCCAGTATTTAGGGCATTTAAGAAAAAAGATCCCCCTCTTTCTCTCTCTTAGCTTCCTTCCCCCACCCCCTCAGTCCTTTCCTAGCTCTAGCATGAGACTAGCTAATTAGGACAAATTACAGCAGGTGGCAACTTGACTTTTTTTTTTTTTTAAACTTCACAATCCACCAGAGACTAAAAAGCTTTAAAGCAATTTCTCATTTAATCTTCAGACTCAAGACTAAATTTCACTGCAATCAAAAGCATAGATTTGATGATTCATTTCCTTCACACCTTTCAAGGTTTAATATCTTTCTTCAAGGGATCAACACATCCTAAAGATAATTAAGCAACTGTCATTAAGAAGCTGTCACAGGCATGCCCCCTCCTTCTCACTCTGCTTCCTGTGCCCTCCTAGTATGTAGGGAAGGTGACAAATGACTTTTTCTTTTCTGAGGATCAAATTCCATATCCAAAAGCCCTCTAGCTTATATTCAACCAATCTCTCCTCTGAAAGACATGATCAACTTGCAACACTGCTAGAGAGATTTTAATTTCTTCCACTGAACACCAAAATCTGAAAATGTTAGCTAATACTCTCTCCCTGCTTCCTCTAGCTTCTCTCTCCCTATATTTTTACCTATAGCTTGTCCCCACCCCTCCAGGGCTATCCCCAAAACAATTCCAAATGGCCATTTTCAAAGGAGCTCTATTTTTGGTAGAGGTCTACAGCAGGACTCTGAAACTTTTTCAACCTTAAGAGACTGAATTGAAGGTCTGTTAAAACACAGAGTCCTTGGTCCTCTGTCCTGAGATTTTAATTCAGAAGGTGCTGTGGCTGGAATGTTCCTTCTAACACTAGAGTTGACAGTGTTGAGAGGTGGGATGTTTAAGAGGTCACAAGGGTTCTGCCCTGAAGAATAGATTAGTGTTGTTATTGTGGGGAGGAGTATAAGGGTTTGCTGAAAGTTAGATCACTTCTTGTTCCCTCTCTCTGTCTCACATGTGCTAATTTGCTCTTCTGCCATGCTTTCATGCTGCACAAAAAGAGTTTACAAGATGCTCTTATCATGCTTGGGGACTTCCCATCCTCTAGAACAGTGAGCCAAATAATTTTCTATGGTTTATACTTTACCCAGTATGTGGTATGCTGTTTTAGCAACAGAAAACACACGAAAACCACACTTTGTGGAGCTCTAGTGTAGGATATCTGAAGGGGGAGACTTCGTAAAGGGCAGACACTGTACCAATGCTTATGGGTAGGTATATGGTTTTCCCAAGAAAGACTTAGTTTACACCATTTGTCCAGGTGGCCCATCTTGTTAACATTCCCTTTCATTCTCAAACATGTTCCAGACAAGACTGTAAATTATAAGGCCAGCTTGCTTGTTCATTATCTCATCTGGACTTAGGAAGACTCCCAAGATAGGTATTATTATCCCATTTTGCAGAAGAGAAAATGAAGCTCAGACAGATTGCACAAGCTTGCCTTAGGTCACAAAGTAAAGGACACTGCCTGGATTGAAGCCAAGTATGCTTTGCTCCATATCCGCATTTTTAACTTTCATTAATACTGTGACAGTGGCCCACCCCATCTAACCCCTCTTTAGGATGATGAGGTGTGACACTCAGAGGCTTCCACTTGCCATTCTTACTACTTCATAGGAACTCTAACTTTACAGTCAGGCAAAAGCAAAGTAAGAAAGGCCAATGCTAGAGTGGAGAGGAGTTAAATTGCTCAAAGGAGCAGGTATTAGAAAGCTGTCTGAACCTTTCAGGAGCAAGTGATCTGAAGGAGTCAGATGAGACAAGACATAATCAGAGCTGGGTGCCTTTGGCTCACACCTGTAATCCTAGCTACTCAGGAGGTAGCGATCCAGAAGATTGTGGTTTGAAGTCAAGCATGGGCTGACTTTTACAAGACCCTACCTCGAAAAAATCCATCACAGAAAAAGGGCTGGTGGAGTGGCTCAAGGTGTAGGCCCTGAATTCAAACCCCAGTACTGCACACATACAAAAAGGCATAATCGGAAAAGTGCTTCAGAAGAGAGTCTGGCCTCTTGTGTACTTCATACGAAGAACATGAGAATGCTTCTTCAGGAAGGGAAGAACCAGAGGTCACCTAGCTAGTTGGTGCTCCATGCCAATGCCCTTGAGAAATATGAGGAACCATGAGTGACAATAACTATAGTTCCATCTTATCTTCACAGAGACTTTCAAAAGTGGAGCAGGGGCAAAATATCAGGGAGGAATGTGTTAGAGCAGCTGCTGGCATATGAAAACCCACAGCTAATTCTGCTTCAGTTCCTATACCAACATATCCCACTACCCTCTAGGGGACACTGGATCGATTCATTATGACGAATCTTAGACTTCTGTCCACAAATAACATCTCCCTACTCTCCACAGAGGCGGATTCTCTCAGATTCCCTGAGAGAACTAGAGGAAAGAGAGTCCTAAAGATGGGACAGATGACAGGAGGTCTCAAGTGAAACTAGATGTCCTCTCTTTGGTCCTTTATTTGTCTTTGGTGTTCATTAGGATTGTCAGTCTTCATACCTGTATATTAACTGTGGCAGAACAGGATGTCTAAGACCAAGAAGTATATCCAAGTACTGATGGTACAAGGATTCTTGCCCCTTGAAATAACTTAGCAAAATTCAAACACTTTCAGCCATTTACCAAAGAACCAAGAGTTATTTTATGGAAGTATTTCAGGAAAACAACTAAAGCATTTCAAACAGACACTCCTGTTCTTTTCTCCTTTGCAGAGACACGAAATATCTACATTGCCCTTCTCTCTACTAAGACAAAGTATAATGAGCAACCATAGTGGGCCATGTATGCTAAGAAATAAGGGACACATCTTTCCACATACTTGGGGACCAAATACAAACTCCATCAACTTAGATATCAGGTGTCCTACCTTGGGGGATGTGAAGGTACATTTGAGTTTCCGTGGTACTCTTTCATGGGCCATTTCAGTCCATTCAGCAAGGGTATCATCACGGTAAGCCAGAGAGACATCCATTGAAACTTCTGCATTTTCTCCTGCAGGAGAGAACATGCATAATTCAGATGCCTTTTGGAAAGACACTTTAGAAAGCATTAAAAAATCCTTACAGGCTCTGCTGTGGAAACCAAGAAGACAGATAGGTTAGTTCCTCCAAACTCCAAACATGAAGATTAAAAGTCAGGATTAAAGTTTAAGCTAGAGGTTGGGTCTCCTCCCATAACAACTCTGCTAGAGTCAAGAGCTTCCACTCAATCTCCTCTAGAGACAGATGCCTCACTCTCTCTGAGGCAACTCAAATGGTCAGATTCTGAATCTTGGTCAGAAATTATCCTTCTGTAACTTGTGCTTGTGCCACTGATCCAAGGTCTGCTCATAGGAGCCACATGGAGCTTCTTCAATTTCCACAAAAAGTGTCTTAGGCGCTTGAATATCATAACTTATTGTTCTGTGTTTTCTCTCTTCTCTGATAAACATGACAAAGTTTTTCAACACTCTGCTTATGACTTGAGTATGTCTCCCAAAGGTTCGTGTATTGGAGCTTGGTCCTCAGTATGGTGGTGTTGAGGAGGAGAGTTTTTAAGAGGTGGGGACTGATGGGAGGTGATTAAGTCATTGGGGGCTCCACCTTCATGAATGGATTAATGCTGGTCTTACAGAGTGGGTTAGGAGTAGTTTAGACCCCACAACAGTCAGTTAGTTCCCTCAGGAATGGATTGTTATAAGAAGAGAGAGCCTGGTCCCTCCCTGGCCTCTGGCTTCCTGTTTCATCCTGAGTGCTCTCTCTTTCTCTCTCTCTCTCATGCATGCTCCCATCATGATGACATCCACAAGGTTATCATATAGCCAGAAAGCCCTCACTAGAGGTTGAACCGAAGGGGTCACCCCATCTTGGACTTTCAGCCTCCAAAACTGTGTGTTCAAAAAAACCTCTGAGATACACTTTTCACACATGACTTAAGTCCTTTCGGTATGCTCGTCTGAAGACACTCTGGTCTGAAAGCATCCTTCTTAAGGATGTAAGATCTGCTATATCTCCAAATCTGAAAACCCCTTATTCCATATTGTGAACAAAGTTAATGTAAAAGGCCAAGGGCTTTTCCAAAATTAAAGACTTATGCACAGATAGGAATGTAATAATCAGAACATAATTATACAGATGAATGTTCACACATACTTCCACATCAGTAGGGACCATGAATAGGTTTAACACACCACTACTTATTAAGATTAGAAAGAGTAATAAAAATTGCATCCATTCATTTTGTCTTGAACAAGTTCAAGAACAGAGAGTTCTTAATGAGGGGTGGAAATCACAAAACACGTTTCCAAAACAATTGGACAGCCAGCTACCACCCAGGTTATGAAACTAGGATCAGTTCTAGGCTCTGAGCATACAGCCTTGTCAAGTCTCAATGTCCAGGCACCCAAGTTACTCAACTGTAAAGTAAAACCCACTTCAGGGTTGTGATAAGTACTAAAAGAGATCATATTAGAGGAAGCACTGCAAGCATGCAGTAGGTGCTTGCTTAATAAATGTTTGCTGAACTTGAACACATAGAAATTACAAGGGTAAGAGAGAAGAATGGAAAATTAGGGCTTTTTAATGCACTGGTTCAGTAAGGCTTGAAGCTAACTCATTTCAACAGTTTTTTATAGATGAAGTAGGGAATAGCCATAGCCTAAACTCCCACAAAGAGAATATTCTGGAAAAGGGAGCCAATGTGTACAACAGAGCTCCAAATCACTCAGAATCTGAAAGCACCAGAAGGTGGAGTGAAGCTGACACCAGGATGACTGGGTGAAACCTGAATATAGAATGGTTGGACCCTTGGTTCTCCTGCATCTTTCCATATCCACTTAGTGTGAGCAGAGGTTGGACTTGGACACCAGTCATTGTACAGACCTATGGCTGAACCTCGGGAAGAAGAAGAAATCATGTGACATTTCTCCCCCCAACTCAGCAAAAGCAATGTTCAAGAGTTTGCATATCCACTTGGCTCGGGACCAGGCTGGTTCTAACTACTCCCTGCTTAGCAGCCTCAGTGGTCAATAGGAGGAACTGGGCAGAATTCTGATCTGTGAGTCAAGTATTAGGCATTAGGGTACGTCGTTCTCACCTCTAACACTAGGATTAGGAGGTGGGATTTTCAACGAGGTTAACAGGGCACTCAGAGAACCATTGGATTCAAGAACACAGATCTAAAGTCTAAAAAGCAAAAGTTGTCAGCTTACACAGGCTATGGCAGCCTGTGCTCCTTGGAACTCAGGGGTTTATTAAGAACACCACTGGTCTTAGACACAGGCAGGACAGGGCTTTAATCTGGGCCTTGCCCTTTAAAGAGTCCCTGAAGTGAGGGAGACGTGAGCACCCAGAGGCTACCCATCCCACTCCCCATTTCTAGCCCATCCCTCCAGGAATTTACTCTGATCAGACACCTCTGACCCTACTTCCAAGGTCTGTGGCACCTTTTGCCTAGATCTGGCCTTAAGGAGGAAATAAATAACCACTTGTGTATAACCTGGGGTGGTGAGGAGTGATCAAAAGGCTGAAGTTTATAGGAAGACATGAACACAGGGAACAGAGCTTGAACTTGGAGGCTGGGCTGTCCATGCACAAGCAAGAAGACTCATTTCTGTATGGGATGGAACCAGGGGTGGGAAGAAAAAGGAGAGTAGGACTCACTCTTACTCATCAGTCACATTTCGGCATAGAATTCCAAGCAGTCCAAGAATCCTAAATTCAAACCTTATCTTCTAGTTTATCATGAAGGCAAATTTGTCAGAATCAGAGAACGGAACACATTTGGCTTAACAGTTTATTGATCTGCCTATCACTTTGAAATACTTAAGACATATGGTAAGCATGTCTTCATTGATACTCTTGCCCTGTACCCCACAAGTGTGTGCCAGGCTGGTATGAGCAGGTACCTCAGTGGGGAAGAAGGTCACGTCTGACCTGTTCCCACCTTCAACTGTTATTCCAATCTGTTGAAAGGCCTCAAAGGAAACACAAACAAAAAATTTAAACACTATTTCAATTACTCCATATTAAGCAACTGTGACTTCTGAGATTCCATTGAAATTACCTCATTAATGTTCCAAACAATTCTTTGAAGTAGACATGGATTTGTCCTTTTAATCAGTAAGTAAACCAAGGTTCTCAGATACTAAATACCTTGTGTAAAGTAATCTTGATGACTATTCTGAAATTGCCTTAAAAGACTAGTAGCCACTGTCTCATAGTTGCTGATTTCTTTTTACTTTTTTATGGCAAGAATAGCTACAATAATTAATTTTCCTCAGAATAGCAATCTTTTTACTATCTTCATGTACCCTAAGATAGCATGTCATATATATTAAATATACAACATTAAAAGACAATCATTTTTTGTATTTGCTTTTTAAAAGACTGGTAACTTGAAGCCCCTCAAGCCAGTCAGAAAATATGAATATTTTTAAGTTCTTAAGAACAATGCCTTCTGTTTTCAAGTGCTAATGTGTTTTTTGTCCTCTCCTTCAGTCTTCACCCTCCTTTGAGGAAGAGGTAATATAAATTGTCCCAATACATGGATACTGTATAGTAGATGGGCTTAAACTCCCATCTGGATCACCCCAGAGCCCCACTGCCCTCTACTACCTTTGTTGGTACAAAACAGAAGAATCCAAAAGAAACCAAATAGCTAAATCATGAATATTTTGTGGAAGAGCCACTCAATTCCAAACTAATACCTTTCTCAGCTTTCTATTAGGGGGGAAATATAAGGTGTTCTTGGAGGCTGCAGGGATGGCTCAAAAATCAAGTCTGGAACCCTCTAACCTGAGCTGTGAGGGGAGGAGCTGCTACCAACTCAGTACCTTTCCATAAAGGACTAAAGTGTTGTGATAAGATCAAACAGTGCTGAGCTAGAGGCCTGGGAACTCCGGGGTATGTGTTGTGGTTCTGCCCCTAATTGCATGTGCAGTCATGGGCAGACTGGGTTCTGGTCAGGAAGTGAGCTAAAAACAGGAGCCAGCTGCTTTCAGCTCCAGTTAATAGCTGCCATGAGGTGATACAGGTCAGTCTAAAAGAGAAGCCAGAAATTCAGGTTTTTAATGAACTGTCTTCCAATTTTTAAATATCAGTAACTAATTCAGTAAAAACAAAACAAAACAAAATATCTGCGCAAGTCAGTGAAGCATCAGGTGACCTCTGAGGAGGAGACATCGAATCTCTTCACACTGGCCACCACATCACCTTTTTTTTGCCTTTGCATTTCACCATCGGGTCAAGTTCCCTCGAAAGCTGTCTATGATTGTATGTTGAATATTCAGCATGCTTTGTCCAGTCCTCACTCATCATGTATCTACTTCCTGTGCATGAGGTGCACAGTCAGAACTGAGAAAGCCTAAGCCATGGAAACACCCCATCCCAGCTGTTCCAGCATCCTGGTGTATGCAAAAGGCAGAAAGAACATATTTCATGGTGTATGAAAAAGCAGAAAGAAGAAGAATAGAAGAATGGCTCATTCCAGCTACTCTCCTGCCTCCCTTTAGACTATGAAATCTCATACTCTGGTCGGATGTTTGGGTTTCTCACCTGTAGGACTAGGATGTTGTGTTCATGAAACTAGTTCCTGTGTGGAAAATTGCTTAAAACAGGGCAGAAAGCATCAAAGGTTGGCCACTGTTGGTGGTGGTGTTTTATTAGGGAAGTGAAACTCTCATATCTTCCTTTCATTCAAAATAATTGCCAGGTTTCAAGAACATGGAACTTCCCACTATGAATGCCTAATTCAAACCTGGAGCATACAACCCAGAAACAGGAAAGTGCAAGTCAGAGGAAGCCCACAAAGCTGTGCAGTTCACCGCCTGCATCATTTTCTCTTCTGCCTCCAATGGACTCGGAAATACAGTTCATCTTTAATGACTACATTGCATGTAATAAAACAGGGGTTTCATGGCTCTTGGGATACTGCGTGGGCAATCCTAGGCCAAGAATCCAATTTGAACTCCCTGGGATAATAGCAGGAAGGCCAGGGCTACATCTGGCACCTGG